GAGAGAATGGACAGGCAACAGTAAAATGGAGTAGTGGAGGAGGAGGTGGTCCTGCCTAGTTTGGGTGGACCTTTTTAAGGAGGGGGGAAGAGGGTGGGGTAAATAAATTAAATGCTTGACTTTATTTTTTGCCTGGCGATGTTTGCCTTGTTTTAATATTTTCCTTTGCCTTTCCTAGGGATATACTTCCCAGGCATATACACTTTTTAGTTCATTTTTTTACCTCAAGTTGGTGTTTTTTTTTTACCCCCCCTACCCCACCAGTCCAGTACAATTTCTCTCGTGTTTTTCTTTTGTCTTGAAACACTTTTTGTTCCCATTTCCTCATTTTTTTGTGTTTTAGAACATGATTTGTATTTCGTTCGTTAGATGGAATTCCAATCTGCTGGCAAAACAAAAGGGTGGAAATTCTCTAAAAGATTTCCATAAGGAAGGAAAATAAACTAAGAATACAAAAAAAAAGACAGAAAAAAAAACAGGTGGTAGGTGGAGTGGGTGGTTGAGTGGCAGGAAGACAGACTTTGAACCTGTTGCGGTTTTGTGTGGAGGGTGTGGAATTAGTTAAAAGTAAAATGTGTATATACTTTGTGTAGATATATCCCTTATATTCTTATTCCTTTTAACCAAAATTTCAAAGAAAACTATTTCTCAAAAAAACAAGCACCCAAACCCAGGCCGTAAAGTATGCTATGATATTTTCCATGTAATATATGGAAGATTTTTACAATAAAGAAGATTTGAACAAAGCTGCAATAAATTTAATCAATATGTGTGTACATATATATAGTATTTGTATAGTTTTTGTTATTTTTATAGAATTTTAAACAAAAAGAAACTCAAACCTTGAGTGTGGACCTTGTTTTGTTTTAGACAACAGGGCGTATGAGCTATTAATTGAAAATTATAATATAAAATAAATGTGAATAAACTTATAATATATTTGTATATGTAATTATAACATTTAAATAAAAAAATTCTAAATATAAAATACTAGATTTTAAATACTGAACTTGAGGCTCTTTGGACAACAGGGCGTATGAGCTATTAATTGAATATTATAATAATATGATATAAATGTAAATATACTATATGTATGTTATTAAAATATTAATATAAAAAAAATACTAAACATGTAATACTAATTTTTAAATACTGAACTTGAGACTCTTAAGACAACAGGGCGTATGAGCTATTAATTAAAAACATTACTCATACGCCCTGTTGTGTTTAATGTTTAACTTTTTTTCTTCCAAAATTTCTTAAATTAAAGTCCACCCAAATGCACTAGGCAACTATCTACTTCTAAAACAAATTTGCACACTGCTATTATTCGCTTTTTTACAATTTTTTTTGTAAGCTCTTATCAACCTAAAATAAGCCATAAAAAAATGCAAAAAAAAAACTAGTCAGAATTAAAAATAAACATGACAAAAAAAAGGGCAAGAAAATTTAATTAATGGAAAAGTAAACAGTAAAATAATATACACGAATACCAAATGAAATAAAAATAAAAAAAAATCATTAAATATAACATGGTTTCGTTAAACACAGAAAAAAAAGTACATGCCACTTTTAGCCACGGAAGCGTATAAATTAAAATAGAAACAAAATTGAATTAAAATATATTAACCAAAGAAAAAATCTATGAAAAAAAGAGCATAATAAAACAATAAAATAAACTCAAAGAAAAGGTAAACCCAACCATCAACCACAAAAAACGTTTTGTGATTCATAATTCCGATTCGGATTTGCTTTTCGTTGTGTTATTATTTTATTAATTTTTTTTCTCTTTGTGTGTGTGTGTGTGTTTTTTTTTTATTATTATAGACTTTGCTTTTGTGTTACCCAATTGGTGGCATGTTTTTTGTTGTGTGTCTCTATTTTTTTTATTATTATCTTTCCTATTTGAAAATGTGTGTGTTTTTTTTTCTCGATTAATTGCATAAAAATAGAGGCCGTATTTCTGTTGCCTTTTTTGTTATTTTTCGATCGCGACATAATTTGATTTGGAAACCTTGAGAAAACAACAAAAAAAAATCAAAAAAAAAAAAATAAGAAAGAAACCGGGACCCAAAAGAATTCTTAACTTTCCAAAATGTTAAGATGGGGGGAAGCCTATATATATAACTCTTTTTTTTAAGAGTATTTCTTAACTCTTTTTTTTTTGTTATTTTCCATTGTTTTGTTTTGACTTTAGGGGACGGAAATAGTTTTTATCTCTCTTTCTTTCATTGCTTTGATTTCAGCTTTTGGTTTTCTTTTTATTGTTATTGTTATTTTTTTGTTTTTGCTTTTTTGTCCCACTAGCTTTTTATTTTCTTCCTCTTTTGCACATTTTGCTAGAAAAGTTATCAGCAAATTTCTGTCTAACTTGTTTATTTACTTAATTTTTTTTCCCATTTTTTTTTTTTATTGCCTGCACGACAAAAAAAAGTCCCCAATATATAATATTGTTTTTTTCTGATTTGTTTTCGTCTGCAGGGAATTTTTTTTGTGTATTTATTTATTTATTATGTTTCTGTCTCTCTTTTTTTTTTCTCTCTGTTTGCTTTTAATTAAAAATATACGCTGATATCAGAGAATAACCAAAAAAAAAGAAACCCTCAATGAAATGGAAAAAAGGCCCTTTTTTCAGGAAGTGGTTTATGGTTTTTTTTAGACCAAAATAAAGATTAGAGATTTCTAACAAAAATTATTATTTACGCTTTGCAAATTATTGTTATTTTCCATTGTTTTTCTAAAATAAACAACTGAATAATTTGCGTAAGAAGCTAAAAATTTATTTACCAACACATGGGTGAAAAAAACAAAAAACTAGAAAAAAATTAACTAGAATTTTAAAAGGTAAAAACAAGCAAATAAACAGCTCCGAAAAAAAAACACAATATTCGTGTCAAAATGTGTGTCGTTTTTTTTTTTTGCTTTATTTCCTACTACTGTCACTTTTTTTGTTGTTTTTTAAAGAATTTTTTATTTGATTACGGAATAATACGAAAATAAATACGATTTTGTTGTTATATATTTATTTTTTTGATTTATTTAAGCCCTAAGCTTTGTTGCTTATAAGAAAACACACACCTCTTTTTTTTCTCAGTTTATTAGGAAACACACCTCTTTTTTTTTGTTATTGTTGAGTTTCTTATATAAAAATACTAAAATAACCTTGGTTTTATAAATTCAAAAATCAGAAAAGATCAACATATAGACAGGAAGTCTTAAATATATATGTACATATATAGTTAATTATTCATAAATATAATATAAAAATAATACAATGAAATAAATGAGAACTGCTTGCACTGCTTTCTCCTTCATCTTGCACCTCTGCTTCTCCATCGGCCACCCAGTTCCCCCTCCACCCCCCACCCCCTCTCCATCATCACCTGTGACGAGTGCTGACCTGCCCTTGTTTTTGTTTGCTCTTATTGTTGTTGTTGCTGTTGGATGTTATTTTGGACAATGAACTTGAAATTTGGAGCACGCGTTCACATGTAATTGAAATGTGTGTGAGTGGAGCACAGTGTTCAGAGAGGGAGAGTCTCGCGAAAGAGAGGCAGGCAGGCGGGCACACACAAATACACGCACATTACAGATTTGTTGTGCTCCTCTCTTCTCCTGCTCCATCTCCTGTTAGCTCCCACAGCCACCCACAGCCCCACTACGCCCCTCTTGCTGTTTTTTTTTTTGCGCAGGCGAATGTCGTTGTGAAAACAAAAAATCTAATAAAACAGCAGACAAAAACAAAAGGCCGCAGCAGCAGCACCAGCGACGTCACTCAAATGCGATTTGCAATTTTAATTTTTTCTTTTTTTTAATAATTTTTTTTTGTTTTTGTAAATTTGTAGAAAAATGAATTGCATTCGACATATGAAGTGGAAGAGTGGGGAATACAAAAAAAACAGAAAATAAAGAAAAGTAAATTGCAAATTGCCTTTTTTTTCTGAGCTTTTGCTGTAAAGGCGGAAATGCTGATGGGTCTCTCTCATAATTGACACAGCAAAAAAAAAAAACAAAAAAAAAAGGGAAATATATACCATCATATATGTATATAATATCCTCAACAAAAAACCACTCCAGACCATGTAATGTAACAAAAACGGCGCCCAAAACGTAACTTATAGATCTCAACAGAAAAAAACAGGGAAAATTTTCAGACTTTTTTTTGTGCCTGACAAACAAACAAAAAAAAATTAATTACCAACCAACCAACCTTAGTTGGAAACTGGCTAAAAAAAAAATGAGCGAAAAAAACTGGCTAACACAGTAAACAAAAAATGTAAATTACTGTGTATTTTTCCCTCGTCGAACGAATTTAATTTATTATTATTTTTTTTGCCAGTTTTTTTTAATGCCTTGGCAATTAGTTGGCAAAAAAATGCTTAAAAAAAAAGCTTACAATAAAATCACAAGAAAAATATGTACATGAATAAATGATTGAATGGCAAGAAATAAAATTATTTCCTCTTAAAGACAAGAGTTTTATAAATATGTATAATTCCATTGAAGTTTAATTTTGATTATTTTTGGAGTGATTTTTTTTTAAATCTTGGCAGCTGGGCAAAGTCAACAAACCCGGAAACCTTCGATCAAGAACAACGGAATTTTTATCGTAATATTTTTGATATTTTTATTTTTATTTTTTAAACATTCACTTGCCACACAAAACAATAAGTTCAAAAACAAGAAACACATAAAACCCAAAGAACAAAACAAAAGTGTGTAATAAAAAAAAAAAAGGGGGGAAAAATATTATTATAAAAACTCTGAAATTATGAATGCAAAAAAAAAAAAGAAGGAGAGGTGGAGGGAAATAAAACGAAACACACACAAATAACACACAACTTTTGTTTGGCTAAAAATAAAACATTATAGCCCCCCTTTTTTTTGTTGTTGTTACTGTTTTTTTGGGGCCTTATTTTTTGTTGTTGTTATTATTATTGTTGTTGTTAATTTTTTGCGTGTCTTTTTTAGCACATGAAATAAATAATTTGTTTTCTCACCTTTTCTTTACGACTTTTCGCGGTATCTGGCCGATGTTGTTGTTGTTTTTGTAGTATTATTATTGTTTCTTTCTTTTGTTTTCTTTATCGCCTTTGATTGGGATTTTTAGTTGTTGTTTTTGTTGCTTAAATATATTAATATCGCATACGCAGCAAGTTTTCAGCACAAAAAAAATATTCATTCATACATTTTGTTTTTGTCGTTTTTTTTTTTGCGGTTTTCAACTTAAAAAAAAAAATTTTAAAGATAAGACTTTCAAAAAAAAAAACAATTCACAAGCGCGCGCTTTTTTCTTATAAGGCGGCTAACGGTACACTCAAAATAATTGTCACTTCGTTTTGGGGGGCTGTATGTGTGTTCTCCCACGAGCTTTGTTGCTGTTCTCCGTAGAGAGACCGACCGGCCGAACAGTTGAGAATCAACTGAGAAACGTCAGCGTCGTCAGCTGTGTTTTGTTTGGGGGCCCCCAACTAGGGATGGGGTCGTGAATGGAGAGTGGGGGAAGCTCGAGACACGTGCTCGTGAGGGTTTCAGAGTATTTTAAAACGCTATAGAAAAAATGTTTATTTAGTTTTATTACTAGATCTGAGACCTAATTGTACTTAAAATGGTTAAAAATATAAATAAATAACAATTAGGGGCTTAAAATTAATAAAAGACCTTAATTAACCTTTTAAACTTTACTTTCTTACATTTTTTAATACAAAAATAATAAACTAACTAGTAATTTAACATAAAACCCCCAAAAATTCCTTTTATTTCATTTCCTTCATAATTTCAAAAAAACTTTCGTGTCACGACTATCCCCAAGGCTGCCATACAACAGCAAAAAGCTTAAACCTCCAGCCATCTGGCAGCGCTGGCAATCAGCTGTCGCTCTTAAGTTGTTTACGTTATGCGCACCGGCAGTGAATTATTCTATTTTTTTTTTATAAATGAATCTTAGAGGCTGCCAACGCGATAACAGATTCGGGCAGGTCAGAGGTTAACGCTTATCAGTTGAAGCGGCGTCGGGCGACACTGGTAAAGCAGTGATTTCTATTTTGTTCGGCCACCCTGGCCGACAGTTTCAATCGGAACGCGTAGAAAAGTGGGTACTGAGAGAGTGTTTCTCATCCAAAAATAATGTCATTAATTAATTTAATTTTTATAGGCTTGCGAATATATATTATTATGCAGAAAGTACGCTGCTTGTCACTGCCACAAAAGCTTCGCTACTGTTTAAGCCGAGACGTGAACACAAAAGCCGGTAACTTCGCGGGAGAACAGCTGATCGGAGCTTTAACTCGCGTCGCTGCCGCCAAAAATCCAACATCCACATTCTCCCCGATCAGACGATATTCGTACAGCAAGGAAACCACTTCTAAGGTGAGTACTTCAATAATAATATTATATATATAGATGTGTATATAAATTAGATTCGTGATAATCAATCAATTAAGCAGTGCTGTGTGGCTTGTGGAACCCTTGATGTGATCTGATTAGAGATCTTTATAGCGGGAGAGGCTTGATTTTCTTCCAGAAGACTAGTGATTCTGGAATGCCATGTGCTTTGGTACTATTTGTTGTTTTTTTAAGCCACTGACATGTGTTTCGGTTTTAGTTTTGCGTATTTTAATTATACCCTACAAAGATAGGGGTGTTTTTATATAGAAAAGTTTAAAATTGAATAGTTTTATTAATTATTTTATGAGTTTAGTTTGATTTTTAAGATTTTTTGTTGATTATAATATTGTAATAAATTGTTTTAAATGGTTATTATAAAGTATTTAGTTTAAAAATCTTAAGTTTCTACAGAAAAATTAGTTTTTTCCTCTTAAATTTAATTTCTAAAACATTTCTTTCTTTAATTTAATAGTAAAATAATTTTAAAACCTTAGTTTCATCACAAAAGTTTAAGGTTTACCTATCTAAAATTAAGCAGAAACTGTTTAACTTTTTTAAAAATTAAAGTGACGAATGCAAATATATTTTCTTTAATATTTGTAATGAAAACAAATCTCTTTTTCTTAAAAAAAAATTTAAATAATTCTATTAGAGTTTCTTAAAGTGTATTTATAGCTTCGTTAGCAACTAGAATCTTTCAATTTTTTTGATATATTTCATTGGGCTGACACCGCCTTAAACTTGTTTATGCCTACTCAGATTTCTTGGCTTTCAGACCGCCTATCAACAACGTCCATAATTCGAGCACTTGTTTATACAAACCGCTAATATTCTTGGCCATTAAATTGAATTTCCTTCAGACAGGGCCAGATGTGTGGGTTTTCACTTGGAAATTAAAGATTTTATTTCATTTTTAGACAGAATTTAAAGGGGATTCACCAGTTTTTAGTTCTCAGATGGATGTACTTACGATCTATTGTTGATATTGTATATTAAAACCATATTTTTTCAATGGAAAAATGTCTGTAAACTTGTTTTCCGGCCTCTGATTCGATTAGATTTTGGCATTTTGACAAGAAGAACCGGTCTTAATTATAATTTCCAAAAAAATATTCAAGAAATGTACGATAAGATAAATAGACTTAATAAAATAAGAAAAAGACTATACTAAAATAGACTCTATAGACAGTATTTTAGATTGTTTTTCCAACTTTTGAATGGAAATTATTCCCGAACTTTCCTCAAAAACAAACGTCAATAAATCCTAGGGGGCCTGCAACACCTTATCGTTCAAATATTTTTAACCCCTGACCCAGAGAGGAGAACAAAAACAACGCAGACGTAAACCCACATAGAGATAGGAGAGTCTTATAGATTAGAGTGATAACCGGCGTACCATGGGGGGTCGAACCCAGACCTGGAAGAAGATAGAAGATGTCATAATATGGGTATATACAAATATATATTTTATAAAGAATCTAATCGAAATAGTTGCCAAGTTGCATCGTCCAGCTAATCTCCATAGCCTGGCGATAGCTAAGCCCCATCGATCAGTCGATCGGAAATTGTATATATATATATATAGGTATTTATAAACATGAGTTCCACCTTATCGTTGAAACTTTTCCAATGCTATTGAACCATTGAACCTTTATTTGTGATTTTTCGCAATTCTCTCCCCCTGGGGCGAACATAAATATTTGTTCGAGTTGGATGGAAAAACAAGCTGATTATTTTTATAAGTTCCGATTACATTTCCATTTTGAATCAGAAATCCAACGATCGTTGCACTGAAAGCATCATATTCTTATTTTTTTAAATTATTTTTTCTAAAGACAATGGCGGATCAGAAGTTGCTGCAGGCCACATTGGAGGAGGGTGATCCCGAGTTGGCGGATCTCATCAAGAAGGAGAAGGAGCGTCAGCTGGAAGGACTCGAGATGATTGCCAGCGAGAACTTTACATCCGTGGGTGTCCTGGAGAGTCTGAGCTCCTGCCTCACTAACAAGTACTCGGAGGGTTATCCTGGCAAACGGTGAGTCTTGAAAGATCCTTCCTGGAGAGAAGATAACCCTTAATTATCCTTTTCCATTCGATAGGTACTATGGCGGCAATGAATTCATCGACTGCATTGAACTTCTGGCCCAGAAACGAGGTCGTGAACTCTTCAACCTGCCCGAGGACAAGTGGGGCGTCAATGTCCAGCCCTATTCCGGTTCTCCGGCCAATCTGGCCGTCTATACCGGTGTCTGCCGTCCCCATGACCGCATCATGGGCTTGGATCTGCCCGATGGTGGTCACTTGACCCATGGCTTCTTCACCCCCACCAAGAAGATCTCAGCCACGTCGATCTTCTTCGAGAGCATGCCCTACAAAGTGAATCCGGAGACGGGTATCATCGACTATGACAAGCTGGCGGAGGCAGCCAAGACCTTCCGGCCGCAGATAATCATTGCTGGCATCTCGTGCTACTCCCGGCTGCTGGACTATGCCCGTTTCCGGCAGATCTGTGACGATGTGGGTGCTTACCTGATGGCCGACATGGCCCATGTGGCGGGAATAGTGGCCGCCGGACTGATTCCATCGCCCTTCGAATACGCCGACATTGTGACGACCACGACCCACAAGACGCTGCGCGGTCCCCGGGCCGGAGTCATCTTCTTCCGCAAGGGCGTCCGCAGCACCAAGGCCAACGGCGATGTGATCAACTACGATCTGGAGGAGCGCATCAACCAGGCCGTCTTCCCCTCGCTGCAGGGTGGACCGCACAACAACGCCATCGCCGGCATCGCCACGGCCTTCAAGCAGGCCAAGTCGCCGGAGTTCAAGGCCTACCAGACGCAGGTCCTCAAGAACGCCAAGACCCTGTGCAACGGCCTGATCGCCAAGGGCTATCAGGTGGCCACCGGAGGCACTGACGTTCATCTCGTCCTCGTCGACGTGCGCAAGGCCGGACTGACTGGCGCCAAGGCCGAGTACATCCTGGAGGAGGTGGGCATTGCTTGCAACAAGAACACCGTTCCGGGCGACAAGTCCGCCCTGAACCCTTCGGGGATCCGTCTGGGCACTCCGGCCCTAACCACTCGCGGTCTTGTGGAGCAGGACATCGAACAGGTGGTGACGTTCATCGATGCCGCCCTCAAGCTGGGCGCCCAGGCCGCCAAGTCGGCAGCCACTCCCAAGCTGGCTGACTACCACAAGATCCTCTCGGAGGACAAGGTGATCTCCGGCCAGGTGGCGGAGCTCCAGAAGACCGTCAAGCTCTTCAGCAGGAAGTTCCTCTTGCCCGGTCTGAAGACCTTCTAAACAAACCCAACATCGACTATCCTATTTCACTTTTTTTTGAAAGCCATTCAAGCTGAAAATGTGTATCTTTGCGATACATCTGCAATTATTTAGTCTCTTTAAGTCATTAAATGCATTTTGATTTCATTTAACATCATAACTTAAGCTTTTTAAATAAGTTTGGGGGCTGAAGGAAGAAATATCCTTGCCCATATCCTTGCCAATATTATTCCAAGTATTAGGGGTCTTTCAAGGAAGAGATCTGTTTAAGGGCCTCCGTTGAAAAATTCTAAAAAATATTAATCCTAACTTCTGCTATAAGATTTAGATGCAGATCGAAGGAGATTTCACAAATCGTTTAAGATATTGCTCTAAAGGATTGAATAAGAATCGGCGGAGATATAGCCATCACAGTGGGCCCTATAGGGGAAAACAGCATTCTCAAAGGTCCCATCAGAAAAAATGGACAAAAAATCGAAAAAATATTTCGTCTCAGGATTTTGATGCAGAATGGTGGAGAATCGACCCAGAAATCGTTTAAGGTACTCCGCTTGGGAATCGGATGAGAATTGTTGAAGATATAGCCATCACAGTGGGCCCTATAGGGGAAAACCCCATTTTCAGGGGTCCCATCAGGAAAAATGGACAAAAAATCGAAAAAATATTTTGTCTCAGGATTTTGATGCAGAATGATGGAGAATCGACCCAGAAATCGTTTAAGGTACTCCGCTTAAGAATCGGATGAGAATTGTTGAAGATATAGCCATCACAGTGGGCCCTATAGGGGAAAACAGCATTTTCAGGGTCCCATCAGGAAAAATGGACAAAAAATCGAAAAAATATTTCGTCTCAAGATTTTGATGCAGAATGGTGGAGAATCGATCCACAAATCGTTTAAGGTACTCCGCTTAAGAATCGGATGAGAATTGTTGAAGATATAGCCATCACAGTGGGCCCTATAGGGGAAAACCCCATTTTCAGGGGTCCCATCAGGAAAAATGGACAAAAAATCGAAAAAATATTTTGTCTCAGGATTTTGATGCAGAATGGTGGAGAATCGACCCAGAAATCGTTTAAGGTACTCCGCTTGGGAATCGGATGAGAATTGTTGAAGATATAGCCATCACAGTGGGCCCTGTAGGGGAAAACAGCATTTTCAGGGGTCCCATCAGGAAAAATGGACAAAAAATTGAAAAAATATTTCGTCTCTGGATTTTGATGCAGAATGGTGGAGAATCGATATAGAAATTGTCTAAGGTATTCCTCTCAAGGATGGGATAAGAATCGGCAGAGATATAGACATGGATATGGGTCATACATATGTGGAAATCCATATGTGGAAAAAATTTTTTATTTTTCAACAGTTTCTTAAAAACATATGCAGATACAAAAAATAAAATAAAATTTAGTATCATTGGAGGGCAAATACCATTAAACCTTGCCCTTTAGTTTGAAGATTGTGCCCATTATTTTCTCTAATAATCCTAATGAGAAAATTGTTAAACAAACCGAAATTAATCTTAAATTTAGAATAAAAAACAAACAATTAAAACCCGACTCGATTTATGATAACTTATGGCATGCTCTTTGAAATTTTTATAAATATTTGAACAAATCTTAGGTTGTGGTGCTGCTGGTCTCTCGATGGAACCGGGAGTTGTGCGTGGAGAGGGACCACTTGGTCTTGAAGCTCTTCATGCAGATGAAGCACTCGTGGTCCTTGCCCTGGATCTCTGAGTGCCTGGAGGCGATATGCCGTCGCAGGGCATTTGTGGTTTTGAGGCGTCTCGTACAGAAGCCACAGACCAGTGGTGGCAATATCACTTCCCGGCCAATGCTGACCTCATCATCGCTGATGATGATTTTGGCGGGTGAGGTGGCAGGTGAGAAGGCTTCTGGGGCTTTCCTTCCACTTCCAGCATCATCAGTTTCCGATTCTGGTTCTTGTTTCAGTTTAAGGGGGTCGTCTGGAAAAAAAAATTTAAAAAATTAAAAATCTGCCAAGAAAAAGCCTTACAACTACAGTATTACCTGGTTAACTAAAACAATTTTTTAATAAAATAATTAAAATTAAATTAAAAAACCCCTTTAAAAAAATACACTTTCTTTTCTAAATGGTTTACATGAATTCTTTTATTTTGTTGCTCTGTCTCTATGTCTCTCTTTTTCTCTTCCACACTAAACTGTATAATGTTGTCTCTTTCTTTTTCGGTTTTTTTTAGTTTTTCACCGAAAAAACGAATTAAATTGAGTAATTTTTATTACATACTGGGCGGGGGGACCTTAAATTTTAGATTTTTTTTCTCTTAATTTTTTTCAGTTATTTTTTTTTTATAAATTTTTGGAATCTCTGCTAATTAGAACTATTGATCTTTTTTTCTTTACTATTTGATGACCACTGTACTGGACTACCTCCTGAATTCTTCGTTGATAAATTCTCCTCTTCAATGAGATCTTAAGCAAGATTTTCTTTTGTCATGAATGGTGGGATGATTTTTTTAACCATTTTTTCGGAGCAAGATTTATGGGGTTTTTCAGAAACGGACATTAACTACAGGTGTATACATTGATCCGATATTTTTAGATCGATAAGTAATACGTATGAGTGTTTTTTTCATTTAACTAGATTATCTTTAGGTTGGTATAGGGGGGATTTTTCGTTTTTCGAAGAGAGGATTTCTACAGGTGATTTTTTTTTTTTATTTTTTTCAATAATTTTTGTTTTTTTTTGGAAAATACTCGTATTTTTGAAACTAATTCTAGAATTAAATATTATGACTCCGTTGTTTTCACTTGGCTTGTAAACTAAACTATTTTTCAATCGAATGTGTTCTTAAAACTAAACTATAACTAATTTTTTTTTAGCTAATATATTTATAATTAATAGTTTTTGTTTTTTAAGATAAATTTGTACACAAGGGATATATAGATATATAGAGGGCTAATATTGGAATAAGAATTAAAAACAGAAAAAATTTTACAATATCGTGGCCTAACAGAAATCTCTGAAGATACTGGAATAGTTTTTAGGGGGTTTCTCCATAAGAAAAATATATATCTAATTTTTTAACTAGAACTATATACAAAAATATATGTATATTCAAAAAAAATGTATAAATTCCATAATTCAGTTTAGCAAAAAAAAATAGCTAATGTTTCTGAGTATTAAAACTAAAACTAAAATATAATTTAAATATTTCAGGTTTTGAAAACTAGAAGGACTTTTTTTTTAACTTAAAATATAAAAATTTAACTAAAAAGAAGATAACAAGATTGTGTATATATTGAATTGCACCCTTATATATAGTTATATATTCCCCTAATCTCCTGGAGATTTCTGCTTTTTGCGGGAAGATTTCTTCTATTTACATAATGGGGGGGCGGGGGAGGGTATTCTAAGCTTGTACTTTTTTTAAGGGGGTAGGCCTGGACTAAAATACAAAATTGGTACAATATACATTAGACATATGACATGGCTTTTGGTCAAACATCGAGATGAGGATCACCAGCTCCGATCTCTAATCTCCGGGTGGCTAACTAGCTGACTGGACTTTCACTTAAGGTTTATATATTAAGGTTTCAGATGGTGGGGGGAGGAGCCAATTAAATCTAAATCCTAGACACATAATGAACGGCTAAATGGTGCAATCTCTTTTTTTTGGCTTAGAATGGGGGATTGGCTTTTCTTTTGCTAAGCTGGACGTAATTAACTATATTGTTGCCTAAATATATATATATCCTCCATATATATATATATATATATATGGTTATCCACATTTGAATTAATTCTCCGTTTTGATGGCCACCTTCTGTTCGTGGGAGATACGGATGTGCTCCCTGAGGCTGTACTTGTTCTTGAAATTCTTATTGCACAGATCGCACTTGCGGGGCGGTTGGGGGGTGTGTTGGGTGCGAATATGTCTCCAAAGATTAACCGTCGTTATGACCATTTTGCAAAACTGACATTCAGTCCACTTATTATTGGACGAATCTAAAAATATACAGAAAATACGTACAACAATCAATCAAATGTAACAAGTCTCCAGGAACTAATTAATGCTTGGAGACATATTCGACAGCCACAACGAACGAAATACATTAATTATAATAATTACTATAATGACTATATATTTTTTAACAAAAACCAAAAAAAAAAATGACAAATTTTAATACTAAACTACAAAGATTCTTTTTAAAAAATTCAACAAAAATATAACCACAACCAACAATATAACCAGAAAACCATAATTTTCAACTGAAAACTTAAAAATAAAAATAAAATTATATATCTAAAATATTAGAAAAATATTTATTGAATCTTAAAACTATTTAATAGATTTTTTAAAATAAGGAAAAAAGTTAATCCCAATATCCTTTTGGGATAACTCGTTATTCTCACCCGTAAACTCACCATTTGCCCCGCCGGCCTTGCTGTCGGACTTGACCGGCGTCACGGACACCGTAGTCGAGGAGCCAGTGGTTGCTCCTCCACCACCACCGCCGCCGCCACCACCGTCCCCATCCTCCAGCACAGCCTGGGCCGAACTCCCCGCCGCCGTTCCACTCGCTGTACCCAATAATCGAGCTAAAAAATAAAAATAATCACATTAATTAATTAAGAATATTAATTATTATTTTTAAAAATTTTTCTTACACATTTCAATGGCTAATTCGGCATTATCCTTATCGGCCTGATACTTTTCTTCGATCTCGGATTCGGTGAGTATTTCATACTCGTTGGAGTACTGGGTCACGGTCTGGCCAGCCGCCGTGGTGGCATCCTGTGATGTTTGAGGTGTGGCGCCATCCGACAATCGATCATCCACCTCCCCAACAATATAATCGGGTATATCCATTTTGACGGCGCCTCGCAAAAATGTCATTTCGGCAGCTGGAAAAGCATGGAATTAGTTATGGTTCAAGGATCTCCCTAGGAGGATCTCAAGGATAATTACTCTTCACTATGGTCTGTTCATCCTTGACGGCATAGTCAACTGTTTCGGTGGTATAGATGTTGTCATCGTCATCCGAGAAGGTGATTTTACGTTTTTTCACCGAACTCGCTGTCGGCAGAGCCACCGCATTTGTTATCGTCAGGTGTTGCGTCTGGACAGGTGTTGTTTGTTGTTGGGATTGTTGCGATTGTTGTTGTTGCGACTGCTGCTGTTGTTGTTGCTGCTGTTGCTGTTGCTGAGGTGGCGGCGCTGATTGCACTTGAATATGCTGAATCTGAGCGGTTTGTACATGATGATGCTGCTGTTGTTGTTGGACCTGCAAGTGGGCTGCTGCGGCTGCCACCTGACTCTGCACCTGACTGGCGGTGGTGGCCTGCAACAGCGTAGCCGTTGGTATCTCAATGGTCTGGGTGGCCGATTGGGCCTGGGCCACCTGCTGCTGATCGCTCACCGCCCGTATGGTACTGGGTATCGTTTTGATTAGCTTGTGTTCACTAATCAGCGGCGCCACCGGCAGCTGGGGCTTTTCCTTCTCCTCGGCGGTGAGTCCCTGGACGGCCAACAGCTCGGCCGTCTGCAGAAAGGATTGCAAAGCCTCCTGCTGTACATTGACTTCACCCTGGTAAGGATATATCAAGGGTTACTACAAATACAAGATATAAGACTGATGAGAACCCACCTGGTACATAAACTCGATTATCGAGTTGAGATCTTCAAACTTTATAAACTTAAATATAATAACTGGATGCGGATGTGGGTTCTCTTTAAAGATCTCCTTGAAATAGGACGAACACGAGGAGAGTACGACCTTGTGCGCCTTGATCCGTCGTCCGTCCACGCACAGGCTGACGTCCACAAAGTCATCGTTCAGCCGGTGGTTGTCCAGAGAGTAGGTGAGGTGGCGCAGGTAGTTATTCCACCGCAGCGAATACTGCTGGGTGGTGGCCATTGCGGCGTCGCCTTTCTGTCTTCTCCTCTTTATCCCTCTGTTTAGCTTCTAGCTCTTCTGCTGCCTTTCTTCTGCCCCCCTTTATGCCAATCTCCGGCTAATCCAATTAGCGGTTGATTTTCTGTTTTTTTTGTTTCTCTCCCCGCAGCCTGCTGTGGGGAGGTTGGTGTCCAAATGTGGTTGCCTCTTCCTCTGCCTCCTGGGGGGTTGTGCCTGGTGCCACCTATCAGAAGGGGGTGCTCCTTGTCCGCCTTGTCCACGGAATCCCAGCGAGAAAAAAAAAACAAAATAAATGCAAACTCTGCTTGCTGGATTCTCCGAATTCCCGCGATTCCTCCTATATGGTGCCTGTGTCCTTCGTAATCGCCTCTATCCTTTGTAGATCCTTATCCTTTGATTATATGCCTGTGTTTACGGTATTTCTACACACGGACTTAGTTTTTTATGTACGCTCTGAATGTTTTTCTGTTTCTCTGCTTCTTCTTTTTAGTTTTTATGTACGCTGCACCATTTTGTTTTTCAACAGTCTGGCAACGCTGTCGTGCAAAGCAGCCCTGATTATTAAAAACTAACCATAGATGGCGCTAGCTTACTAAAGAGTGGCCAGATTTGAAAAAAACACGTTATTTAGTTTAAATATTTATATAAAATATTTATTTTCTTTTATTTTCTGTTTTTAACACAATTTTTGCTTCAATCAAAAAAAAAACCATCATATTCCTTTAACCTTTTATATTAATATTTAAAAAACAAGTTCTTTTTTAAAAAAAAAACCTTAAAAATTGTACATTTTACCATAAGCTAACTAAAAATTTGTAAATCAAACGCAAAATGAAGCTATAGGCAATCGCCCTGAATAGATAGTCCAGAACATAGAAGATTTTCATCCGGAATCGGGCGGCACTACTACTTTCGGGACTTTCCTTCAAGAGGAACTCTTTGGCGCCACGAATACCGTGTTGGAAAAAGTCCACATAGTTAATATCAGCATGTTGCATAAAGCCAAAGGTGGGTCTACAAAAATATATTATTAAAAATTATATATTTTTTTATAAGAATTTTTTTTATTATAAAAACTTACACTTCATTCATGGGCACTATTTTGTGTAGGGCCTTGAAATTATCATTTTTGAAATGCCATTCTGTCATTGCAAAAACTTGCAAGGCACTAAAGGCAGCAAAAATGCGACGTTGCAACTTCATTAAGCTAAAATATTAAAAAAAAAATAAATAAAAATTTAAAACAAAACCTAAATAAATGTTAAAAGTCAACTTACAAAGGTTTTTCGTTATATAAACGTAGTAGAGTATCCACCACGGCTGCCATTAGAAGATGTTGTGTTATAAACTAAAAAATAAAATAAATAAAAACTTAAAATTATTAAAAAATTAATTAAAAAACTCACTCTTATAAAATGCAAAACAGGACACATGGTTATGCTTCCTCCTGGAAGCCATAGAGTCTTTTCGAAGGGATTCTCTCGGATATAGGTCTTTCCGATTTCGATCACCTCTCCCATCGTTATAGGCGATATATTCGCCGTAGCACAGTTCACCACATAGAGGTCATTATCGGTCTTTTCTTTAATTTTGACCTCTGACTCTTTGATGAACTTGAAGACGGAGGTGATCAAGGTGCGAGTGACTATATCGGCGGGCACAAAGTCGGCCACGACATGGGGGTCACAGTTCTGGGAGCGTAGGATTCCCACTCCACAGGCCACCAATAGGCCAGTGGGTCCATTAAAGTTATCAGCCCAGCCGGGAACAGGTTCTTCAATGGTGGAGACCACTATAAGGATTAATTTATCGATAAAATATCGAAAAAAAATCGAAAAAATCGAAAAAAGAAAAAGAAAAGAAGATTTTAAGAAAAAAATCGACTATAACCTACTTTTGGGGATTTTTAAAACATTTTTTAAGATTATAATCTTAATTTTAGTTAAATTTCTTAAAAAAAAAAACTCACCAATAGATGGCCTAAATATAAAAACTGGTAATCGATCTCTATATTCATTAACCACCTGTTCGGCCAAACTTTTTGTAAAAGTATATGTATTAGGCTGAAAGTTTCCATATCTAAATAAAATAAATAATATTAATAATAAAAAATAATTAAAAAAAAAATATATAACCCACTTTAGATTAAAGATATCCAAAGTCTCCTCATCGTAGGTCTCTGCCAGTTTTATGGTTGTCCTCCAATCGGCAATCGGTGGATAGACACGTTCCTCCACTTCCAGGACACTGGGATTCGAGTATGTGGTGGAGACATGGACAAAGGCCTTCAGTTTACGCCATCCAAGGGCCAACTTGACCAGTTCATGGGTTCCACGAGTGTTCATTAGGATGGCGGACCGCAGATGATCATCAAAACTGAGAAAAAAGTTGGGTTATTTACAAATTTTAGATAGAACCCGAGATCCCCTGACATACCGGACACTAGCCGCCGAATGATATACTATTGTGACATTTTTAAGCCTCTCCAAATCCTCTGGACTGATGCCCAGACCCAGTTGCTCCACATCACCGGCAATGGCCACCAGTTTGGATCGGGAATCGGGCTGTTCCTGACGCAATCTATCATATAACTTGGTCTCCCATTGCTGTTGCAAACGATCCTCGATATTGACGCCCTTCTTGGGTCTCATCAGGACATAGATCCTGCCCAGTTTTGGACAGGAACGTAGGAGTTTCTCCACCAGTGCCTTGCCCACGAAACCTTTGATGGATTTTTATCAAAAAAATATAGATATAGATATATGATATATAACCCACCCGTGGCGCCGGTCACAAAGATCTCCTGATCCTTATAAAATTCCGCTATGGACATGGTGGCCTCTGTATAGATCGCCGTACCAAGGGGTTCTGAGCGAAGTGCGCCATTTCCAGGGCGGGAAATATTTAAATTCTGCTTTATGTATTTACCGTATGACCTTACCCGCCAAAAAGGTCAAGACTGCTGAATATTCGAGGGTTTTGTAGAGGGCCCTATACCATACATTGTTGGCATGTGCAGGACAGATACCTTCCAAAAAAGAAGGTCAGTGTATACAAGGCAACAGGATAGAACCTTATAATTCCCAACTACTTTTAGACAAAACTTTAGGGAATAATATTTCCAAAAAAAGAAAAATATAAAAAAAATTAATTCCTTCAAATCCCATTTATAGAGTATCTAATATTTGGTAGAATTCTACAAAAAAAAAGAAAGAACATACAGTATTGCAACTATTTAAAAAAAAAAAAGGTTTCAGAGTACAACAACAAAAACTAAAGCCAATAAAATTAAAAAAAAAAAAAAAAAATTATAAGAAAAACGGAACCGTTGAACCCCCGTCCAGCCCCCTCCGGCAATGAAAGAATCAAAGAAGAAAGCCCGATAAGAGATGACGTTTACCGTTGCGCCCGCGCCCCATATGGCCAGAGTGAGAGGTTGCTGCTGCTGGATATGATACATACATAGGTGCTCCTTTTTCGCCCCATTGCATCGTGCCAATGAACGTGCCGTCGTGCCCCATGAATGGAGCCAGTACCGGTACTACCAACACCGATTTTGAGCCAGACTGGCATTCTGGTTCTCGTCACCGATAAGAAGACCAAACTATGCCAACGATTTGTGTTAGCGTGTTGGCTCATTATTCGTTCCTATGCTTTGAGCGCTATTTTTTTTTTTTTTGGATCTTGGCACTTAAAACGGAACTTTAATCGCATCCAACTATAAACCCGCTCTCTGTCTCTGTCTCTCTTCTTCACTCTAGTACTGCTGTTAGCCATTAGCATGCGTGGCAGGAGGGGGGGTTGCTTTGGGTGGCAAGTGTGTGTGTCAGCCGGAGGCGCCTCTCAAATTGGAGCATTCCCAAACACACATCAAGCGCTGTGAAAGAACGTGAAGAAAAGGTCACTGACCTTGCCACCCCACCAAAAACGGTACTTCCTAAAACCATATAATCATTAAACTCGTTAGCTTTGTGGGTTTTTTTTTGTGTTTTTTTTTTGTCATGTTTGTTTGCTTTTTTAGTTGCATTTCACATTTTAATTAACATTTTCAGGCGTAAACTTATCATTCGATACGCATGCAATTAGAAAAGTGTACAAATAAAAAAAAAATTACATATGCTAGTATGCTCGTATGCGTGTGATTACACGACGCGAGTGTGTTGGATTTTGCCGGCCGGCAAGACAGACAGAGAGAGGGGAGAGAGAGATTAAGAGCAAGAGCAAGAGAGAGTATGAGTGGAGCATGATGGAGCAAGAGCAGATATAAGAGACAGTCTAAGAAGGACGAAAGAGAAGACAACTTGATTTTCCTTGTTTTCATATTTTTGTTTCACTTTTGTTTTTATAATTACATCATAATTAAAAAATAATACATAAGGTTGCTGACGAATTTTACAAAACGCTAGTGTTGTTGTTTGTGTTTTGCAATGGATTTCACTTCAAATCATTTTTGTGTGTATGTGTGTGTGTGTTTTTTTTCCACTTTTACGCGTGAGTGTTTGTGGGTGGGGGGTTGTGTGTTGTGTGTGTGTGTGTGAGTGAGTGTAGGTGAGTGTTGTGTCCATGGAATGGCAGAATTATGCTGTTCTCGTTTCATCTAATTTTTTTGTTTTTTGTTTTTGTTTGTAGTTTCGTTATATTAAAGGTATAGAAAATAAAAAAAAAAAAAACAAAAATACATAGTACATTATTTTTCATGAAATAAATTAAATTAATTCTAGAACACAACACGCCAGATCGTGTGCATCCCCCCTCCACGGGAAAGGGCTGGGGGGGACACCACAACAATGCGGCAAATGATGGTGATGGTGTGTGTTGCTGCTGATTCTGCTTCAAATGGTGTTGTTGTTGTTGTTGTTGTGCTGCACTCCGAACTTCCACCACTCGCACTCGCACTTGCGCCTTCGAGTTGAATTCTTCTTCTTTCTTCATATCCTCCTCCTCCTCCTCCTGCTCATCTAACCACACATCCTTGGTTGCTGTTCCTTCTTAGAAGCACTTGCGGTGCACAATGGAGGGGCCAGACTCATCGTATTCCTGCTTGGAGATCCACATCTGCTGGAAGGTGGACAACGAAGCCAGAATGGAGCCACCGATCCAGACAGAGTACTTGCGCTCTGGTGGAGCAATGATCTTGATCTTCATGGTGGACGGGGCCAGGGCGGTGATCTCCTTCTGCATACGATCAGCGATGCCAGGGTACATGGTGGTACCACCGGACAGCACAGTGTTGGCATACAGATCCTTACGGATATCGACATCGCACTTCATGATCGAGTTGTAGGTGGTCTCGTGGATGCCGCACGCTTCCATACCCAGGAACGAGGGCTGGAACAGGGCCTCGGGGCAACGGAAACGCTCGTTACCGATGGTGATCACCTGACCGTCGGGAAGCTCATAGGACTTCTCCAGAGAGGAGCTGGAGGCAGCGGTGGCCATCTCCTGCTCAAAGTCAAGGGCGACATAGCACAGCTTCTCCTTGATGTCACGGACGATTTCACGCTCGGCAGTGGTGGTGAAGGAGTAGCCACGCTCGGTGAGGATCTTCATCAGGTAGTCGGTCAGATCGCGACCGGCCAAATCCAGACGCAGGATGGCGTGGGGCAGGGCATAACCCTCATAGATGGGCACGGTGTGGGAGACACCATCACCGGAATCCAGCACAATACCGGTGGTACGACCAGAGGCGTACAGGGAGAGCACGGCCTGGATGGCCACGTACATGGCGGGTGTGTTGAAGGTCTCGAACATGATCTGTGTCATCTTCTCGCGGTTAGCCTTGGGGTTCAGCGGGGCCTCGGTCAACAGAACGGGATGCTCCTCGGGGGCCACACGCAGCTCATTGTAGAAGGTGTGATGCCAGATCTTCTCCATATCATCCCAGTTGGTCACAATACCGTGCTCAATGGGGTACTTCAGAGTGAGGATACCACGCTTGCTCTGGGCCTCATCACCGACATACGAGTCCTTCTGGCCCATACCGACCATCACACCCTGGTGACGGGGACGGCCCACAATCGATGGGAAGACGGCGCGGGGCGCATCATCGCCAGCGAAACCGGCCTTGCACATGCCAGAGCCGTTATCGACAACCAATGCAGCAACTTCTTCGTCACACATTTTGTAAGCTAAAAATTAAATTAAAAAAAAAAAATTAAAATTAGTTATATAAATTTAAAAAATTATTCAAAAAATTATGAAAATGCACTCCAATTTAAAAAAAAAAAGGCGCTCAAAGGCCCCACCCCGTTTAAAAAAAAAAAAGAAGCTTCTAGAGACGAATGCCGGTGCAAAAGATAATCGCAAGAAGAGAGAGTTCCTCCTGCCTTCATGTGTATGCGTGTGTGTATGCGGCAAGGGTGTCCCCTAAAAATGGCGGCCACAAGCGAAAAAAAGCACAAAAAAAAAAAAAAAATTTGCGGCTTTGGAAGCCAAGAACACAAGTTTTAGGCGCGAATCACTTGAAAGTTTAAATATTTAAACTAGAACACCGTTAGTTGCACTAATTAGTTACCTTTTTTTTTTTAGTTTGAATAAAATCAAGGGAAAATCTCAAGTTCTGAGCTGAGCTGAGCTGGAGTGGACTGGAATGCAACCGCACCGTGTAACTGCCGAAAGAGGAATGAACAGTGGAACTGTGGCGGCGGCTAATGCCAGTTACTGCCATTCGATCGCTGCCAGCGTCGGCGTCAAAGTCGACGTCAGCTATCGCTCTCTATCCAACTCTCTCTCTCTTTTTGGCTCGCTCTCACCCGGCCTAGCGCATGCGTGCGACAGAGAGCGATGGCTTACCCGAGTGGCGGACTGCCAAGTTTTGTGACCATATATGGTCATGTTTCGAGGCGAAAAAAGCGGCTGACGCTCGCTGGCTTTCGCTCTCGCCACTTACCACACACACACACACACAGAGATATACTCTCGCCAACATACATACATATGTATAAGTGTATGTATATATGTACATCCGCTGTTGCGGCGAAGGTTTTCTCCATTTTTGCGATAAAGGCGTCTCTTGAAAAACCGGCGTTTAAGCCAAAAACGACTTTAATGACGCGATGCGATTGCTATTTTGGAGCCTAACCTTATGCATGTGGGGGGGAACTGCCTACATCACAAGATCAAGATTCGAATGCTGATCCTAAGGTGATCTTTATGTCTCAACGAGGTAATTATTAAACAAACTTGAAGGCATTATAAAAAATGTTTGTGAATTCTTTACATTCTAGGGGGGATTACTATCGACTAGACTACGTAGCGCCCTAGATGTTTATGTTTATACTGGAAGCCCCCCCCTCACTGGATGGATCTGAAGAGTATCAGGCTTCTGATTTTTTTTTTTTTTTTTTCAAAGAAACCCCCATACCGTCTAGCAAGTTTACGTTAATATTTTTATTTCTAGGGGGAACTCTACTGAATGAGGAGTATATATACAATATATAGTATATCTGGCCTAGATACGCCTAGACTGCAAGCCGCCGTTATCAGAAAATCGTAATGGGAACTACTATATGGTATGTAGGGTGCGTTATTGTTTACTTTTCCGACTGGATATCCTATAACATCTATGGGAAGTACTATTATCAATTGAAGGTCTCGATTTCTCGTAGGGCGTGGGAAAAAAATAGAAAGTATTTGGCAAATTGAATTGCAAATTCCATAAAAAAAAAACAAAATTTTAGAAATCAAATAGGTCTTTTTTTCGAAGGTGAAATCGTCATGACACGCCCACACTTTATAGAGGAACGATCGTTTTTTTGGATTTTTTTGAAGGGGATTATATAGGGGGATTTCCTTTGATTATCCTGATTTTTGGAAGAAATTTTCATTTTAATTTCTTTACTAAATTTTTTAGTTTAGTTTTTTGGTAGCACTTGTTTTTGTTGTTGTTGTTTGGCACTGGTACACATAAAAAAAACAAGGATTTTTTATTTTTTTTTGTTCACTGGATTGCATTTTCACAAAAAAAGAGTTCGTTTTTTTTGGGTTTCATTTACGTTGCGGGGATACTTACTTTTGGTCTGTTTTTATTAAAATTAATTAAATAAATATAAATTAAGTCTTTCGGTCTGATGGAGCGGCTTTGTGTCGGGAGGATATCCACACAGCACAAGAACTCAAACGGTAGTGATATGAAAACTGGTCGCTGTCGCACGTTTTATAAGCGCGCTCAGCTCCCAGGCCGGGCTGGCCGGGCAGGCCGGCTCCCCCGCCTCCTCTTTGCCCCGCCTCTCGTCGTCGTCGTCGCTTATCAGCCCAGCCGCTATATGAACCGATATGGCTCTCTTCTCTTCTCCAAAGCCATATCCAAAGTTTTACCATATATGGGTATGAATTGTTCGCCGAGCGGTTTTTTTCGGAGAATTTCCTTCACTCCCCAGACATGGGTGTGTGTGTGTGTGTGTGTGCGAGTGTATGTGTTTGCTGGCAGTGTTTGTAGTTTTTCAATTGGGGTCCTTTCAGTTCCACAGTTGTGATAGGTTTTTTTTTTTAAAGGCGCCCATGTGATTCAGGGCGGCTTACTCACGCCCACTTATCTTTATGAGGAATTACTTATTGGTAAAAAAAAAAAAAAGGAACGATTTTCTGCGAATTTTTAACCATATAATCCGTCTACAGGAAAAAGCCCCTTTAGGTTTACTAACAAGTTTAATAATACTACGATTTTAGTGGCTTTATATGAGCATTTCTGATGATTTTTTTTGTATTTATCAATTAAAATAATTCATAATCTTAATTATAAAACGATAATATTGAGTTTAATTGAAAAACTAAGATAATTATTTGAGTTAGGGTTCGTTCCCCTCATCAGGTTTCAATATTATACCATTTTTTTTGGGTTTTTAGTAGATAATTACATCTTTAGATAGGTTCTTTTATACAATAGATAGGTTCTTAAGATAATATTACATCTTTATAACTAAATATCTATGCATTTCTAGGAATTAACCAAATACTCATTATCAAAAAACACTTAAAAACCAATATATAAGCATTTTTGTAGAAAATCTCGAGCTTTTAAAAGACCCAACTATTAAATATATTTCTATTTCAATAAATATTCAAAAATATTTAATATCATAGAAGCAGGGTATTCATTAGTCCAATTCATTTCTCTCTTGAGCCTTTTCAAGCCACAAGCCGGTTTTGAACAATAACGGCGCCAGAGGCACCACAGCTGCCGGGGCGACTATGTCCGCTGCGAGAGCGGACGAGAGCCTGAGCCTGAGTAGGTGATGCGACGGCAAGCAGGGTTGGCTGCGTTTGCGCAACAGAGACGAAGAGAACGACGCGACGCGCCACGCACTCACATACTCATCTCAGACACTCATGCTCTCTTGCTCTGGCCCCCCCAAAACGGGGCCCCCAAAGAGGCTGTGTGACTCAGTTTCCAGTTGTTCTTGTTGTTGCTTGATAAGCCGCTGTTTTGGTTCTCAAGTCTCTGAATTATATTAGCATTTTCCTATTATCTATTATCTATTATCTATTGTTATTGCAATAATATTTACTTAAAATTAAGCTAATTCTGGGACTTGCAAAAGCTACAAGTCATATGCGAAGAAAGAATGCCAATGGCAGTGGGGAAAGTCTATCTTTTGTATTTCGTTTTATTTGTTTATTTGTTGTAACGGTTTGCAGGCACATGGCTATAAATAAGTGACAATATGTAGACTTATTTATTTGCGTTATTCGTTGACTAATCTTTGTTTAAATAATTGCCTATTTCGGTCTAAAATGACGCATAAAAGGAAACGGCAACATACGGCGATAAACACGCAACGCAAGGCGGCATGAGAGACAGAGATACTGGGGGGAAATGTACAAAGATTGGAGATGGAGAGAGAGAGAGAGAGCGCAGCATAAAAAGAAAACAACAAACGCACACCCATACACCCATAGACCCATACAGTAGCGCAGTTACACACAGACAGTGGAGTCAATGTTTGGGCAACTGGTCAAAAAGGAGTGGCTCCAACGTCGGTGACGTCGCGCCCAGCCACAGCCCCGACCCCGACTCCTGCTTCTCCTCCTCCCCCCCTATTGTATCTGTTTGCCGCATTTGGCTTTGCTGTATCTTCACATTTTTTCTTTTAATTTTTTTTTTGTATTTTTGCAATTCGTTGAAGAAATTGAAATTGCAACAAAGAGCCACAAAAAATTGCAACGATTCCAAAAAAAAACTCAATTGCAATCTTGAAATTGGAGTACAAGAGTAGATTTCATTGTGGGAACAAAATAATTTTAAAAAAGATACAAAAAAACAGCAGTTTTTAAAAGGAATTTTTATTTATCTTAAAGATAAGATTAAAAGATCTTAAGATAGAAATATGAGATATATCAAAGATACAGTAAAATTATAAAATCAATAAACTTAAAAGAAAGAATTCTTAAAAGATATGTATCTTTTCTTATGTATCTTAAGGATTTTTCGTATAGTTTATTTTTCTTAAAAAACCCCAAAACCAGACCTTGATTATTTGCTTAATAAACACTTTTGTTTTAAAAATCGTATTTTTTTTAAAGAAAATAATATCTGTTGATTTAAGCTTTCAAGGTGACTCATTTCTCGAAGAACCATCTTTCATATGTTTATAATTTTAACTGAAAAATACGGAATTCTTATGCTTTTGGGTCGCAAAATAAAAAAGAAAAAGAAATCGACGACGTCATCGCAAAATTCCACATTCTTCAATCAACTGGCGAAGCTTCTTCCTCTTCTTAAGCGACTCTCCAAGAGAGCTCAAGACAGAATGGGACAAAGATAGTGGCAATCTTATCGTGCCGCTTGTATAGCTGTCTTTTGAAAATTGCCCCCGACTAACGGTGAAAAGCATACATAGAGAGACAAGAACGGACTAGAACGCTAACAACAGGTGGAAATTGGCTTCGAATTGCTCCGAATATGGCTAGTTAGCATTAGTTGAGACTATCAACTAGTTCTACTCCTCCTGATCTTGAATGTATCAATTATTGTATTTGGTATTTAAGCGTTGATCGGACCCGGAGCCCGGTCCCGGTCTTAATGGCCATAAATCGTGTCTCTCTCTCTGCGAGTTTTGTGGGCCACATAACTGTGGGGATAAAATACAATGTTGGGGGAAAAATAAAAGAAACTTTTTGGTCCGAATATCTTTTTTTTTTGCAAGGATCTGTATCTATGAGGTTAAGAGACCTTAACGGTTCATCGGGTTCATGGGGGAACACCAATTTCAAGATCTATTCATAGATTATAATTTCTTATCCAATTTTTTGGCCTCTTCAAGTTCGTTTCTTGGCCAACAAATCGTTGAAATTTCCCCAGGCCAATAGCTTTGAGTTGACCTTGTGGCAAGTGAGGTTAAGTTGAAACAGGTGAGAGAGAGAGAAGATGTTGGTGTTTTTTTTATTGAAACTAGAAATACTTAAATGGCCAAAAAAATACAAAAAAAAAAAGCGCGTTGCTGTTGTTGACTTTGAAACCGCTATAAAAAAATATACATACAATATAGATATGTTTGTATATACATACTATATAGCCATGATCAACGACCTTTCTCCAAAAGTACGTAACTAGTCACGTTTTCTACACTTACAAAAATGAAAAATCCACAACTTGTTAAGCGACTTGAGCCCAAAGCCATTGTCAAGGTCATTGAATGTGAAAATTTTCGTACATTTTTTCGCAATTAATTTGTTTTCTTTTCATTTTCATTATTTGTTTTTTTGTTTTTCTGGCCATTAACATGCACGCACATGCTGCACGCCGCTGTTGCCAGAGTTGCCATACCTCTGGAAACCAACTTTGGCATTGCAGTTAACCGTTTTTGGTCAAAAATCGAAAATGTTGCAAAAAAACACACACATTTTCACTCACTCCTGCGCTTTTTGGCCAATTTCGGCTTCGCATCGCAATTGGCCATGACTGGAGAGACAGAGAGAGAGAGATAATCGTTAATTGCCGTCTTAATTAGTTTTGCTAACGCACCTGCTTTTGAGATCTGCGTTGGCGTTGCGGGATAAAAGCACCCCAACAGCTCAAGGCCATGGTTGAAGCTGGAAAAATATTTATTTGTACATAAATCTTGGCAAATATTTCCCATTAAAATTTAATATCAAACATCTTTAATATCGTGATGGGCTTTCACGATCCGTGCCATAAATACCCGCACGAACATGTTAATACTAGATCGCCGAATTCCACAACTTTGCTAATTGCTACGTTAATTGCATTTCAGACATTGTTGCACCTGTCGAATTTTCTGACACTACCACCCAGCCCAAGTGTGTGGGAGTTTCCAGACGTCTCGGGAAAGTGAAAGAAATGTAATTTTCGCGTTTTATTTGCGTGTTTCAATTTTTTTTCTGCGAAAATTTCACCCGATTGCAGTTTCAATGCGTACAACACTCTCTTTTTATCGAGAAAATGAAAATAAAAAAAATAATAAAATAAATTGCAAGTGAACTTTTAAGTGACCTAAGTAAATTGGTTAAATATAAAAGTTCAAAAAATTTTAAGGTTAATTATCTATAAAATCTAGAGATACAATTGCAGTAGATTGAGATCTCTGCTGGGCGGTAAAAGTTGCATTGAGTCATTTTCCAGAGAGCGCTACCTAACCAGACAGACGTCACACTCACGCCCATTGAGTGGAGAGCTTGAGTTGGGTGGGGGGAGGCAGAGATGGGTGAAAAGTAGGGAGCATCTCAGACAGAAAGGTGCAAAAGCAATTGTACTTGATGAGTGTGTGAGTGAGTGTGAGTGTGAGTGCGAGTGTGTGTTTGAGCAGCAGACGCTAAGATGTTGTTCATCTCGTTCCAACCAACACCTTTTCTCCACTCGTATATCTTTTATTTTTATTTTTTTCTTCTTTTTTTGCTTTGGTTAGCTTCTTTTTATTTTCTTTTTGTTTAGTTTCTTTCTTGACTGGTTTATTGCGGCGTCAGCTTTTGGCGAGACGTTGAGTTGACGGCAGACCGGCTTGCCATTACTTTAGTTGCTATTGTTGTTGGTGTTGTTGTTGTTGTTGCGCCACTGCAGCAGTAGCAGTAGCAGCAGCAGCTGTGGCTGTTGTTGTAGCATCTGATTAGCTGCCGCCTGGCAATGAAAGAAATGTGGGCAAAAAAAAATAATAAAAAAAAGCTAAAAAAAAAAACTTCACG